GAAGGTCGTTTCCAACCTAGTGTTTCTGTGAACATTTAAATCTAAGCCCCACATGATAACCATGGATTCAGTAGACCTACAAGTTCCAACTATTACTTTTAGGCTTCTCTTCAGTTTCATATCTAAAGACTGTTTTCTGGTTTTTCTAATTTTTAAAATAAGAATTCACACCCATTTGCATACCACAGTTACATTTAAAAAAAACAAACCCATGCATGTGGCATGCTGCACCATTCCTTCTCCTAGCTGAGATTTATTTTACTGCTGTATCATTGCTCAATAAGCTCTGCTCTCTGTTAACAAGTATCAGTAGGATATGGAAGAAATTCTGTAATTTACATTATAGCATGTATAACACACAAAGTATTACTTGGTGGTGAAGCAGCAAGTAGACGATAAAGAATACATATCCTGGTTTTTTTTACATTAGCAGATCATAGAAGAACTTACCTAACAACTTGTAAAGGAGATTCAAAATTTCTTTCCATGCTGTACCATGTTCTTCTCTTCCAATTCCTGCAAAATGAGCTGCGCTGTTGTAGTCATTTAAGCGATCAATGCAATTCAAAACTAGTGCCAGCATTCCCTAAATGCATATGACAGAGAGGAAAGTGAACTGTACATGAAAAAGTATTTGTTGTTGTCCTGTTCACACTTAAAAGCTGCATCATCTTAGATTAACACTATTGTGCTTACAAGATTTGAACTGATATTTATCTATATCACAATCATCCATTTTAGAAACTTATTCTATATTGTTCTTGTCTCAGCTAAGTATTATAAAAACGAACAAACAAGGTGACAATAAAGGCTTTTACAGTTTTTGTGAATAGACTCTTTTTTACATAAAATCTTCCTTACATAGGAAAAGAAACCTCAACAAAAAACACTTTAAAATTATATGCAAAGGAATTTTTGTTGATTAAAAGAAGGTGGAAATTTTACTATCTGATAAAATATCTGTAAAATAAACAAGTTCAAGTACTAGAATAATTTTTAACTTCAGTTTGGAGAAAAAAAAAGGTATTGAAAATCAGCAAGCAATCCAAACATGTCTAAAAACATTGTAAAATATATTTCCTATTTATACAATAGTGTAATTATTCAGTTTTCAGAGAGGAGCAATTCTGCAATTATGTAATACATAACCTGCTCTAAGACTAGCATTCTTCCAGTTTCTAGAGAAAAAAAGTTCCTGTTTCACACTCTGGTAGACAGAAAAGACATCAGAAATAGTATCTATCATTGATCCATGTTTTATTATTCATTTGGGGTATCCAGAATGTGTAACTTCATAGAGAGAAAAAGAAATTTGTCACAATTGTTTCTTTTAAAAATGTTATCTGTTTAAAAAGGCTTAGAAGTATTAAGATCAAATTCTATGACAGAGAGCTTGTGGCCTGTGACAAATGTTTAAGTGAAAAATACCTAACAGTAAGTTATCATATGGCATTACAGCCTATTACACACGTATAGCAGCTTTGGAACTTTACATTATGAATCATATGCATGCATCTAGATGATAACGTTTAAGTTCTCAATGGTTGTGACATGATACACTTTAAAATAATGTTAACAATTCCTCTGTCTCTACCTCTTCTTTGAATAGATTTTGTCTGTTTTTGAGTGACCGAAGCTTGCTTTGCTTATCTTCATGTTCCAGGTCTTCTTCAGGAGGTTGGAAGTAAGTAATCAAGTCTTGCAGAGTCTGAGCCATCTCCTCAACAGGCAGGGCAGTGGGTGATAGTGTTCTGTTGTTTCCACTATGACAAATAACAACAAGACTGGCAGCATTATTCATTTACAGTATTATGTAGCAGCCTATTTTCTGTTGGAATCTAAATCTAGTCTTGTTGTACATATGACATATATGCGAGCAACACCTGATCTGAACTGCAAGTCATTCAAACATCTATTGTTGGGGTATCCAGCACTGAGAGCTTCCTGAAGTGGAATCACGTTTCCCTTTCCCATCAGCTGAAACACAGATGAAAGATGCACTGAAGTCCTTTCTCACAGTAATTGATATTGTTTAGATACTTTAAATCCTATTGATGATGTAGGTGTAATGTGCAGATAGACTAAAATAGTAGGAGTAACTGAGGCAGTATACCTCCAGTCTTCTAGACAAAGAACACAAAAATAACAGTTAATCCTAAGCATTAATTAGGTCTTCTATATCAACTCTATACAGGAAATAAAGAAGGGTGGGATTTAAAAATACAAAGAATTTCAAGGAGTCTGAGATTTCATTGTTCATTCTTGTATGTTAATCTCAGCAATTATAAATGAATATGCATTGACACAGAATTGTATTTTACCCTAAAAATCTTCAGACAAAACCAAACAGTATGGAAGAGCTATAATGAAGGAAACATGGAACTTTCACTGAATTGAAGACCTGTGTCTTGCTGCTTGTTAAAGAGCTACTACCATTTAAGTTTAGTAATATAAGATAAATGTCATGAATAATTTACTCTAAAAATTAAGCTGGAGCGAGTTCATTAATACGATGAAAGCAAGTCAAATTTTGATTCATAAAATCTATTTCATAAATAATGTTTTTTTAAATACAGGCTTGAATCCAGAAAACCAAACTCGGGATGAAATGCGATAAATACAGCACCTTTTCATGGTCATTTTGTCAACGGTTCATTAAGATTTAACATCTCCTGAGGACCCAAAGGCTATTCAGTCAGCAACATACAGTTCAGATAAACTGCTTTAAATGATATTCATGTCTAATGCATTTGTTCTGCTGTTGGTGAAGATTCTGTTTTCCATGAAAAGAAAGGTATTATGTTGCCACACGTGTGGCAAGGATATTAGGCAACTACTTAACAAGTACAGCTCTCTATATAAACTTCTCAATAAATCAAGATTATGACAGAGCAAGTCTGGTATCAAATTGTTGTTTAAATTCCCTGACTTTCTAATATCCTTTGTAGTACTGATGCCATGCTTAGGGTACTCATATATTGCATGTTTCACATGCCCAGGTATCCAAGGGCTTTGGTTTTTTGATCTGTGGAAATAACCATCACTGTTTTCACATTAGTTTTTGAGTTCTATTACACAGTTAGTGGAACAGCCCAATCTCAGATAATTCTTACTGAGGTATAACTACTAACTGCATTGCCCTCTAGTACAGCACAGATTTGGAAGACAAATACTACTCAGAAGGTATTTTTGATCTAAACAGTATTAGGTGTCAACATTCCTTTCAATTAGTTTGACAAATTTGAATAGAGTTAGCTATATTTGATCTACTGAGAAAAATGGAAAAATAAAAACCCTCTTATGAACACTGTGAAGTTGAGCTACTGTAGAATACCTACTAATGGGGTTACGCTAAGATCATTTAGCATGCTTTCTTCAACCTGGATTATGATCCAGTTTGATTCTGGCTTCAAGGTATTAAATTTCATGTAAATAATCTTAAATAAGCTTTTTTATCTATTTAATGGCATTATTCATCAAAATTACAAACTTAAGTCAGTAAAAAAATACATTGCTAATAGCTTCTAAATACAAATAGTTGAAAGGACGAAATAAGGATTCTGTTAGAGAAATTCTTATAATTTCAGAACACTTTAAAAAACTATCAAATAAAAAATGATTGTATACAGATGGTAACACCTACCTTATAAACTGGCTGAATAAACTCATAGTATTGCGAATGATTCGAGCAGCCTGGGATTCCTCGTGCTGACATCTTTGTAAGGTTAGACCATCATCCATATGGCCTTCTTGGTGTAATATAACCTATTGAAAATCAGTAATTATCACAATAATTACTTTAAAAACCTTTGTACTTTTAAATATTCGGTAACTTATTTCAATATTGTATTGAAAACAGTAATTGCATATATACTGAGCTACTGGTTAATCATTTTATCTGAACATCTGTTTATTAATTAATCACAAATTTGTCAGTCTCAGTTTATTGATCAATTACAAATTTTCCAGTCTCACATACAAGATATTCAGACAAGACATTGTAATGTACCTTTATTCTCCCACAATTCATTAAACATATATGCTATCAAATAGCATATTTTTCATTTTCAATTCAATTCAGCATTTCCAACTGAAATAAAAAAATGTCATTCTTTATATATTTAGGATCTTCACTGTCTTAAGGATCGTTTCCTAAAGGATTCATGCATGAAAAGACTACTGACAAAAAAAACCAAGTTGGAGTGACAAACAGAAAAATTACAATGCAGCTAAAGGAGCAACATTTATAAGTAACTTCTGACTCATTTAACTATTCTCTACACATTACGTTGGATTCTCATCAGAACCAGATGTGAACATCACCTAAACTTCAAGCAATAACAGAGATCCTTTGGTGGGTTTTTAATTTTTCCCTTTAAATAAATACCCATTTTCACAAAAGGCAGTGTAATTTCTAGGTAGCACAAAAATAAGTCTGATAATTTTGAGTCATTAAAATCCTACAGCGCTGTTTTAAGAATTAAATGTGAGTTATCCTGCTTTCTTGCCTAAGATGTTAGCTACTGAATTCTCTGCTGAAAAATATATTTTTCTAGTTCTGAGATAGTAAAAATTTGCTGCCCTACTTCTCAGTTAGCAGAATAATTAAGGCATTGAATAGTTAACCAAGAAACTAATAATGTTATGCAAGTACTTACTGGCACAAATGGGAAGGTTATTTACCAATGGCTTTTTGTACATACTGGCATATAGGTACACCAAAGCATTGGTGTTATAGGAGTCACTTCCTAGTTCAAATGGAATTCATTGTATAGCATTAGTAAAAAGCCTTAGGCCTTTCACCTAGATACTGATGAATTTATACTGAACTCTTAGTTGCATGAGGGGAGGCCCCAAAAGCAGTGTAAATTAGAAAGATAAGACAGTCACATCCATCAGCAGAAGTTGCCTCCTCGAGAAAAGAAAAAGAACGGCCCGCCTGGAGACAGTGAAAGGATCCAATGAGGAACAAGGAGACCTCAGACCCAAATACTACTATTGGACCGAACCATCTTGCAAGGAGAGGGGAACTTGGATTGTAAGGGTATAATTGCCCAGAGAGTCTTTTGTTCGGGGTGCCTCTCTGGAGGCACCCAGCTCGAGCTGTTCTACACCGCTGTACCATCAAATTTGTCTGGTGTATGTCATGTCGGAGATTCTGCTCTGGGAAACCTAGGATCGAGCCTGAGGGGAGAGGAAGCACCCAAGATTGAGTGTGTGTGGAGTCGAAAGGGGCACCCATTGGCTTACTGGAGTTGCCCACTGTGAAGGGACTCCGGTCCTAGCAGTTAGTCTTGGGGGATGTGTGACTCCTTGACTGGTGTGTGAATGCTTGGGCACCGGCTTCTCTCTTAACAATTGGAAAGTGCCGTTTTTCTATACTTGGAAGGATCCAGAGTACATGTGTGCTCTGTTCCTTCCAACACGCTGAGGAAGTGCTTTTAGAAGAGGCAAACATCACCCCATGAGTTCATCTGAACCCCAGAATCCATGGAGATGTGATGGAGAGGACTAGAAAGACATTTTTCAATGATAATGTTATCTTAAAGGAGACCAGCTTACATACTGGTCATCTTTCCTTTTTGTTCGAGTACTTCTTTATACACAGTCACACTGTGGGTGACTTTGTTAAGTGAAATATCATTGTTCCCATAGAGAAGGGTCCTGGGGTCTTTTAACTGAACAATAGCTAAAGAACCAGTCTTCCCATCACAAAATTAGTAAGAAAACATTTGACAATCAGATAATGTTTCCTCAAGCCATTGCATGTCGCTCCAGATTTTGGAGCTACAGGAATGGTATGGGAATGAAAACATTTGACAGATAGGCTATTAAAGCTGACACGGCTTGAAAAGTAATTGCACCTTCACTAGTGCGTAGTAGATATGCACGCTTCTCACTAAGTATACAGTAGATCAGGGAAGAGAGAAGTCTTTTAGAAGGACCTAATTGTCCCTATTTCTCTGACAAAAAAAAAAAAAAACATCAAAACAAGAAACCTCAAAAACACAGCCAAAACCTCAACTAAATCATCCAGAAACACCACAACAGAAAAGTGTTTATTTAGAATTCCAGTAAGCAGATCACATTCAGAAGCTCCAGCTCTGATGACTCAAATTCCTCAGGTAAACCAACTCCCTGTGTATAAAAGGACATTTGGCACTGCCTTGCTTGTTGAGGTACAGCAGGGCATTGGTATTGACCAACACCCTGAACAATGGTCTCCAGGACATGAATCCAAAACATGTAGCTTATTTCTCTATTCTCTAAGCTCTACCATTCTGGAGCTCTGCCAGAGTTCATAGCTTGCACAGAAGCAAGCTCTCAAAGTAAAAAGGTAGGCATCCATCACTCATGCTGGATGGTGGAGGAATGTTAAATAGAATATTGACATAAACATCATCACTACCTGACAAAGTCTTGAACTTTTGGTTACCAAGATCTGAGAGAGAGATATGACAGATCAAAATTCTGGCAGAAGTTGTACAACAGAAGCCTCACAAATGATGCCAGAATTTCTTACATATTGGTGTCTTGGAAAGATAGAATGATAACTAGATACATGAAACTACACCAAAGCCAAACAACACAAATTTTTACTTGGCATTTTGAGGATTTTATAACAGAACTTATCCCACAGTTGTTTTCTCCTCTATAGACTTGCAACAGCTGTCAGTTGTAATAGCTGGGTTATGTGGAAAAAAAAACCCAAACCACTCTTTGCCTCTTCTAAAATAAGGTATTTCTCAATACTCCTAGGGCTGCTGAGACAGGTTACAAAAAGTGAAGGTCAGCTTGAGAAGGATTACAATGACTGAAAGTGAAAATCTCCTGACAAAATGATGGTGGAGGATGCATACAAAGCTATAACTTCATTTTTACTGTAGAAAAATAAATCTGATACGAAATGTAAAGGGATCTATATATCTAAACTTGCTTACAAAATTATAATCTAGTACCATATTTTGCAGAGGATGAAAAACTCTTTCTTGCCTCCACAGGAATATCAATTACAGGAAAGAAGAAAAAGATCTGGAGTCTTTGAACGTGAATGAAACAGTTTGAAAGGAGAATAAAAGCTACAAGCAATCATGGAGGTTCTTTTAGTTCCTTGCTGCTAAGCAGAAAAATGGGGAAAAAAACCCCTAAACTTCATGGGAAGCTATTGCAAAATCCTTTATTGAATACAGAGGAAGAATCCACATGTTGCCTTTTCAAGAAGTAAAATTGGACCCTCTGAGGAAACAGAATCCCATAGCCAATACTGGCAAGGGAAAGGAAGAGGCCATCATTGTGTGACTGAATCTTTTACCAAGAAAATACTGAATGACTGGCATATGAAGAATTTCTGTGACCAGACAGGTTGCTGAGAAGAAGTGAAGGGGTCAGGCACTCACTGCCCATTTATGAACATGCGTGCTGCATAAATAAATGAGACTGTGTCAAGGGTGTGCTGAGGACCTCATTTTTTGTGTTACAGTGCTTGTATATGGGTATCCTCTTGTGAACGTACATACAAATAATTAAAGAATAATTCTGACTTCTCTTCAGTAATGAACATTTTTTTTCTTTTTCTTGTTCTAACAAAAGGTTGAAGTTGTAAAAATCTATGAATACAGAACCAAAGAATCATTTGGTAATGATGGAGTTATGCGAAGCTAGTACTAAACCCCTTAATTCTGAATGAAATGTAAACATAATTTGGATAACAGGTCATATGCCGCTACTTAAGAATATACTCATACCATATAACCAAAAGGCTGAGAGAAAGAGCTTCTTCATGCCACATCACAACTACATCTAACATTTTGGCAGGAAATTGTTCATTAGTATCCCTTAAGGAACTTGAGTTTCTAGGGTCATTTCATTTCATAACAAATTTACTTGTCAGTTCATTAATTAATCTAAATCAACAGTGAATGTAAGATGACTTACAAGTTTAAGCCCTTAAACAGTTGAAAGTAGATTTAAAAAAAAAAAAATTATTTGGCCAAGCAAATCAGGAATTACCATATTTTAATGAAGTGTCAAAAATAAAAATTGAACCCAAATTAATAATTTCTTCTGGCAAGAAAAATAGCTAAATACATTTCTTAGTGGCAAAGTTTTTCTTCAGTTACATAGTTATGTTAATATCCACCATTGTTTTGATTTTTAGAATAAAACATTCACACCATTTTCAATAAAGCAGCACAAAACAATTAAACCCACAATTGCCGCATTGATAGAATGACAAAAAACAGGACAGACAAAAACTGTTATGCAACTAAGATTCATTTTACAAGTAATTAAAAAAACCCTCAAACATTACCTTTCTTTTCAAGGGACCTAAACGTGCTGATTTAGCATCTTGTGCTTTGTAAGTCAACCATAAGGCACTGGCCACATGTTGGACAAAACAGATTGAATCACCATACTTAATTTCTGGGACTCCCATTCCATCAATGTCACGTTTAAGACTAGAATCCTGCTTTTCTTTTACCTCCTATGAAGACAAAATAAAAGATGGCATTTAATCTCCATACTGGAACAGGATAAACCATTGACTTCTACACTGAAACACATTCCAACACTGAACCATGTTTATGCTACTTATGTTGTTTAAGATGGAGCTAAGTTTCATTTCACATAATTTCTGTTTCTATCCAATTAATTAATCAGATCCTGATTAAAAACTATTTTAAATTTGATGTACCATTTTCACTAAAGCAAGGAAAATCAAGTGAAATCCATTAACATTATATTAAAAAAATTCTTTAAATATTTAACCTAACCTAATCAATAACCGAGTTACTGATGTAATTAAAGTTTCAGTTTAGTAGAGTCTGTAGAACTCTGTATTACTAAAATGATCAAATTTTGGCTTAAATATTAAAAAGAAAAATGAGCAGAAACATATTTTGAAATTTAGTTAAAATATTTTTATGCTAAAAGACTTTTTTCTTTATAAATAGTATATGCAGATAAGAAGTTCATTTGGAATAATGATTCTGTATTGCAACAACCAGTAAAGGACAAAATACTAATTTTTAAAGTATGATTTGGCTTTTACATACATTTAACTTTTCCACTTCTTTATTTTTTTACATTTATTTTATTTTTCCATTTATTCTCTTTGTAAGAGGAACTGGATTCTTTCATATCTCTTTTAAAGACATTGCTCAATGCTCAGCTGGAACACCTAGTACAATTTTTAAAATCAACCTGTTTCTTAATCCCATTAGTCTTCATTCATAACCAGAAGATTTTAAGTCTGCAGCACAAAAGCAAGTATCTTTTTCTTTAAAATAAAATAGTTCTCCTTTCAAAATTGAATTCAGCAGTAAGAACAGAATTATGCAGCAAATTCTGTAATAGCAAATTATTTATGCATGTGTGCAATTAAACAAAAAACTCTGAGTAATTATGTAGTTTTTCTATGATTTCAAATGCTGATGGACTTCACCTTAAGTATACAGTTGCTCATTTGTTGCTAAGTAAACAAAATCTATTAGACATTGATACACAGCTTAAATTATTATATGTGTAGCAGGTTTTCTCATTTTATTTCCGTTTACTCAATGTTCAACATTTGAGGAGTAAAGGGAAGTTCTAACAATGCTAATCTACTTTAACTTATGTGGCGTTTAGCTGTTACATTTCAACAATAATTTTAGTTGAAACAGCTCTATAATACCAAGATAAGTAGAATGAAATTACAAGACATTCTTTGGGGATACCATTACAAACAATACCAAGACTATGGGGAAATCATGTCACATCATATTTATGTGGACTGCACTATCATGTAGAGATAAAGATGAATTCTTTCAATACACACTTAAGGTGAGGCCATTAAATGAAAAATACAATAAAATAGCACAAATTCATTAACTGTCAGCAATTAATTATTTGGCTTTATGTAGCACCCTGAAGCTTAAAATATTTTTCTCAAATATTACATCTGCATCAAGAATCAAGCATCAATGAAAATTTCAGTGAAAGAAATCACACCATGATCACAAGTGATCCTACTTGTTACTGTTTTAAAAAAGTTGATCAATACTGATCCTTTTTGATGACACTAAACATAAAGAAAAACCAAGATTTTTCAAATTTCAGAAATAAGGTATTTTGGGAGGCTGAAGGCTGTTCTCACTTTAAGCAATACAGCATAAATTCCTCTTCATGATGTTTTGCTCTTTGTGCTCTGCCCACTTTCTCTAGGATTTCAGCCAAGTCATTTGATAGCAGTGTGCAAAGACAGGGTGTATTTTCTAACAGCTGAAAAGTATATTCAGATAAAGATTATTGGGGGAGAAGAGAAAAAAAAATTCTCTCATCTAGATACTTGTACATATCTTAGCAGCAAAATATCCAAACATTTTCTCCTTCAAAACTCTCTTTTCACAACTTATTCTCAGTTTAACTCCCTCAGGCTATGAATTAATAAAGTCGAAGAAAACAAATCACATCATGGGTCTGGAACATGGCAAAGGAAAAATAACAGTAACAAAAAAGAAAGAAGGAATGAACAAAGGAATTTGAGAGCAAAGCTGTCAAAGATGCAATTTTCAGAAGATATTTAATATGCTAGAAGAAGGGCAAGATTTAGAAAATGAGAGAATTCATAGAATACAGATTCCTACGTGATAGAAAGAAGGTAAGGAATGGCAGTGTGAACAGGACAAATAAACTCAACTGTCTTTACAATAATGTTTCTACGTTCTTCTTGTAAAAACACAATAGGGAAAAAACTCCTGGTATCTTAAGGGCTTGTTTACGTACCCCTAAGAATGGTAAGACAATCTGACTGCTGAATTCTTATTAAATCTAACCTATGTGAGCTTATTAAAACTGTATCTTTTGGTGTTGCACACTGTTACTGCATTGAAAGTACTGCCATAGGCCACCCCACTTTAACAAAAGAAAAAGATAAATGGTCTACAAATCTAAGCACAGAAGACAGATACATTCAGCTTACCTATCTTGATAATGGGCTTACTGTACTCTGTATACTTCGCTGTATATATTTCTACACCCCAGTAGGCAAGAAAAAAAAACCAGGTGATTTTAATTTTACCTTCTACTTTCTCCTCCAATATAAATAGAAAAAAATAGCTTGATACCATATTTAAAATGCAGTGCTTACTGGGGAAAGATGACTGTAGAATATGAACTTACAAGTAAATACTTGAACTTTTAGAGACAATTGTAGGTAGAGGACTCTGTAATACCTACCATCTTATTCCAAAAACAAATTAAACTTTATGATTACTACTAAACTATTACGACATTCTAATGCCATGTTGAGCCCCTAACATAGCTACATGCTGGCAGTAATATTAAAATGATATCAAATCCTTCTGCATGAGTCATCTGTGACTTTTGAATGTGTCAGAATGTTACTTAGTCAGACTGCACCAATAACAACTTCATTGTCAATTGTATAAACCATCATGAAAATAAAATACGAATTCTCAAATATTAATTCTGGGCTACAATAATTTTAAAATAAACCAATATTTTTAAATATACTCTTGTTCTTTAGTGTGTTTATTCTCAAATAAATTTATAAACAGAATCAAGGTTCTTTCTGCTCAGCAGAGCATAGTGAGCCAAGTACTGTGCTGGAATGAGAACACCCCATTTCAAAACAGGATTC